AGGCATCATTTACAATTTGCTGAGAAACTCCCTTAAACCAGAGTCTCTGGATGGTACAAAGGTCAAGAGCCAGGCTGGTGAATGAAAGATACGAAGTTCAAGTGCACTCAAAGGTGCCTCAGAAGAAAGATATGATGATCCACTTTCTTTTTTTAAAATAAAAATTTACTATTTTAATTGTCATTTCAACAAAAGTTTACAGAGAAGTTAGATTTTCATTCATTCATTTAGCACATTTTATCCCCTCTTTCCCTTCCCCCTCCCCAAGTTGACTTTTTTCTTTTCATTAGTTTAATTTACAAAATTCTAATACAAATTCGAAAAAATTCTTTCCATGTCCCTCACCCCGCCCCTCATCAAATTGTACAACCCTATGATTAATCCCCTCCTCCCCTGCACATCCACATCCCTCTGCCTCCAGCCTCTCTCTCCCACCCCTCCTGGATCCACTTTGAAAACTCAGCCATTAACAAGTCAGCGGAGCACAGTGCTCCTCCGGCACACATGGGGGCGCTGTGGGTCAGGGGCGCCTGGTCTTTCCGACACCTGGCACTGAACTGGGTGGTGTCATAGACACTGTGCCTGAGCAGTATGGTGGACGTTGCCACCCTCATCTGTTTCACTTACACTTAAAAAAAAATATTACATTTATGGTTATCGAGTCAGAACTGAGGATTTTCAGAAGTTACAAATCAAGGGAGATGGGCCTTCTTTCTCCTGACCATGCTCATTTATTTACAGACAGGGAAATAGAGGTTCAGAGAGGTGAAGCAACTCCTCCATCAATATCAGGCTTCCACCTCCACCTCCACCACCAGCAGGCTGTGTGGTTCCTCCATCTCCTTCACTAGACATCTCCCCTGCCCACTCCCCGTCTTCTTTTCCTCCCCACAATTCTTCACAGCTCTCATCAGAACCTGCACCTGCTTCTCTGCCCACAAGTTGGCATGTTCTCAGCCTCCTTTCCTGAGAATCCTGTTTCTCTCTGACTGTCTTGTTTCTCAATGTATCTCCAAAGCCTATAATTGAATCTGGGACATAGTAAAATTACAGCCGCTCTCTGTTCCTACTTAAACGCACTCTACTCCCCCAGAGTGCCTGTTGTGTAGCATTTTTGTTATGTACCGTTCAGTTGGAAGCGACTACCTGCCTTTGAGTTAGCAGTGCATCTCTTTATCACCAAGCCACAAGAACTCCCTGTGCTAAATGCTTCCTCCTGGTGGCTCCCTCTACAAGTGCTGCCCTGCTAAGAACTGCCAGAAGGTGAGGCAGTTACCGCAGGTGGAACCCCCAGCAGCTGCCTGGAAGAAAGAGGGACCATCTCTTTCTGTTAAGTTTCATAGCTTCAGAAGCCAGTTGAGCGTTGTTATGAGACAGCCACCAGATGGTAGTGAGTGAGTATTCTAATATTCTATCAAAGAATAAATTTGCTAATGCAGGTCCAGGGGTTTAAACATCTTCCAGTGAGATGCCATCACATCGTGGCTAATTTTAGTTCCCGAAGCTGCCAGCATATTTCCACTTGGCGTGTGTGCACACACATGCATGTTCCAGAGCTTTCTCCCCAACCTTAACCTAATGAATGCATCCTTTCTCTCCATGCCCCTAACATTGTGCATCCTTTATATCCCTGCCCAGAACATACAACCCAGTCCCTCCGTCCCTTCTTGACCCCACCCAGGACAAAAGCACTACTCACTTTGTTCCCCAAAGTATCCTTCTTGATTCTGCCAGCGTAGAATGTCCTCCAGCCACTGGTGCTTGTAGAAGTCTGCAAATCCACCAAATCCACAGAGCATAACTGTAAACAAAGACAGGAGACCCTCTGCAGGTTCTCCATAGGACCCAGGAGTATCCCCGAGGAACACTTCCCCTCTCCACGGAGCCACCTATCTTCTCCCCAGAAGGGCCAAGGAGCCCAGAAGGTGGCAGTCAGCATACTGCGTGGAAGAGGCAGCCCAGGGCTCTATCTTAGTGACCAGGGGCTACTGTGTTTAGGCTCTGCTTCCTCTCTAGGGCAACAACCAGAGCCGCCCACTTTCTGGAGTCAGTAACGCGATTTGAACACTCAAGTCAAACCTCTAATTACATCACAAATAGTGCAAGGGAGATATTTATACCAAAAGATTATCTGCTTTTTATCTGAAATATCCCTCTAATAAAGTGGTAAACCCAGGCTGTGCCCTTTGGCCTCATCTCTAAGCCTTTCCAAGTTTGTCAGTCCAGAGCTCCATTTGTTTGTGACCCTTTAGGGACACGTGGCAGTCACATGGGGGTGGGGCACACAACCTGTGTGGTAAAATACTGAACATGCAGTTATACTGGAGTGTTAGAGAAACAGTGGATCACGTTTAACTATAGTAAAACAGCAAAAGCCACAACCTGGAAAAGTAGAATCCTGTTAGAGGAGGAAAATGCAAATTGTTTACCCTTGAGCCGTTGGTGGAAAAATGACCAGACTACAATCTTCCAAAGGTGGAAAATGTAGGCACATTGCAAACTAATGGCCATGTTTGCAAGTTCTTTGACTGGCACTTTTCACAACTTTCAATGTATAAGTATATTCCATGCAATACCTGGAATATACTTTTTTTAATTGCTTTTTTACATTTATTTTTTAATGAACATTTACAGAGACTTTGGATTTCCATTCCATTGTTGCATTTTCCTCCCTGCCCACCCTTCTTCACCCAATTCACTCTTCTCTTTGCAAAGTAAAAGAAAGTCTTTCATTGTTATACAATCCCTCCCAAGTCCACTCCACTGCACAGCCTTCATTCTGAACTCCTGCCATGCCAATAATACCTAATCATATATCACTTTTAAACAGTTTCCTCTTTCATCTGTTTCAATGCAGTATACATTATTTAACCCCTCTTTCTCAGACTCCCTTCAACCCTGATGTTTTATAACAGTGGCACTATGCAATATTCGTCCTTTTGTGACTGAGATATTTCACTCAGCAAAATGTCCTCCAGGGTCACCATTTTTAATAATATTTCATGAGTTCTTTGTTTTTCAATGCAGCAGGAATATAGTTTTTTAAAGTGTTTATTTGGAACTCAGACTCAATTGGGACTCTTCTTTTTGTGTGGTGTGTAATGAAAACCTCTCTGGGCACCTGTGTGAGCGTGTCCTTGCCCTAGTTAGGGGGGGTGTGAGCCTATGAGCATTTCCCACAGTGCATGGCCATTGTACATACTGGTGGATACATATCTGTGTGCATGTGTATATGATGTGTGTGTGCATGTCTGTGTGTGTTCTTGCATGCATGTTTGTGTTTATACACACACATGCCCCAAATCAAAGAGATCCTGTCATACAGGTTTGCATTACATATTGTGTTTATACACACGCATGCCCCACATCACGGAGATTTCCCTGAAAATGTCTGCATTACGCACTGTTTCCCATGAAGAGGGCCTGTTCTTTACAGTTGCTGTTCTTAGCTTTCTGGTTCAAGTTCATCATGTTGGCACAGAACAGGTTCATGTAGTGCTGAGTTTGAGTATACAGCCCCCCTGTGCATCCAATCTGGAGGGCAAACACGCAGAGACAAGGGAGTCAGTACTTCCACAGAGACGCTGGGGCGCCACCAGCCTTCAATTCACACACACACACACACACAAGCCCAAGAGCTACAAAGCACAATAAAGTGAAGTGAAATTTAGAAATTCATTTCATTAGTTAGTAAAGTTGGGCTCTTGACACCATCCTAGCTTTCATTCACAAGGTCCCATTGACAGACCATCTGCCCCAAAGGTGTAAAATGATATATCTTTGGAAACTCTACAAATATACTTATCCTAACAGAGCTATCTGTGACCCAAAACAGTAGGTTTGTTTTTTGCCATTGTCACTTTCTGAAGGAGCCCTGGTGGTCTGATGTGTGCAAAACAAAAAAGGGAGGTAATTCAAACCCACCAGTTGCTCTATGAAGCAGTCTGCTTCAGTTACAATTAATTACTTAGAAACCTTCTGAGGCCATTGTGCTGTATCCTAAATGTTTACAATGAGTGTGAAATTTGGAGTTTATTCTTTGTTGATTGATTTTAACATCTTTAATTTCTCTAACACTTTGCATTACAGTTCAACGTGCAAAGAACTGTCTAGCTGGTCGCAAGCTGCCAGAATCACCAGTCTATCACCTTAACTGCAGGATTCAAGTGAGGGTCAAATCTATGAAGCAGTATTCTCCCTTCTCTCTGGTGGCCAAAGTACAAATCAAGACAGGTGCTTGTTCTTCTGGCGTGTAGCATGAAAAACTACACTGCCATTAACCCAGTAGCTGTCGACGCAATTCTGAGTCATAACAAGCCGTCATGTGTCAGAATAGAACTGCGCCCCTGGGGTTTTCAGGCATTCATTCTAAGGCATATCTGGTAGGACTCGTTGCTACCACCTTTCAGTCAGTAATCTAGCATATTAACCATTTGAATCACCCATAGACTCTGTACTGTGGTTAACCTACTCTTGTTGAATTGATTCTTAACTCATAGGGACCTCCACCCCACTTCACAATATAGAACTGCCCCCTAGGATTTCCTAAATAGCTTTTTTATGGAAGTCTTTCTCCTGAAGAGCAGTTGATGGGTTCAAACCACTGATGTTTTGATAAATGTTGTTTGATTAATATTGATGGCTGGGCTTAAGCCTCTGTGTCAGACCGTATAATAAATGTCTTACTCTTTTTCATTTATTATTATTGTTTTAATTATTACTACTACTACTACTACTACTACTTTAACAAGCACTATGTCCTTCTCCAAGGAGGTCCCTCCTGACGATCTACTTAAGTATTTAAGATGAAGTCTTGCTATCTTTGCTTCAAAGGAGCACTGTGACTATACTTTGATTCGTGGCTTAACTGCACTTCTGGAAAGGGTCGGGATGACGGTGGGAGAGGGAGACGTTGATGACTCCTGGGACATGGGGAGTTGAGACCAGACTCCCTTAGAACCTTCCTTTCCCTTCATGAGTCATGGTCGCTCCACACTCACCATTCTGGAGATGAGGAAGTAGAGCAGCTGGTGGTTCATATAGTTGCCTGAGTAGACGGGCAGAGTGACCAGGTTCCTGCAGAACTGTGAGTAGCTGCAGGGCTTGCTGATGTTTGATCTAGGGTTGAGAGATTATAGGCTGTGAAGAGGCAGGGATGCTAAAGGAACATGACCGCATGGAGCTGTCTCCTCCTGTCTGGACCGTGCCTGGGCATCATCCTGCAATCGTCGTAAACCTCCCAGCATGCACTGCCAACATGTCACTTTCTGACTCCTCGTCGCACCGTGGAATTGGTCAGTAGGGTGCTTATGATCGTAATGTTCACGGAAGCAGACCGTTTCATCTTGTTTGAAGGAGTGGCTGGTTGGATTTTAATTGCCAACCTTTCTATTGGCAGCCTAGTGTTTAACCACAGTATCACCAAGGCTCTGGCCATTGCGCCCCTCAGTATCATCTAGTCACTGGCTGGCCATGAATAGATAAAGCAGGTGGGTTTCAGAAATGTGTGGTGAGGTGACAGTTCTACAAAGTCTTGACATGGGTGAGAACCTAGAAGACCATGGAAGGAGACCCCCCAAGAAAGGGACCCCGGGGCGGGCACATAGGACAGAGAAGGGTAGCAGGAGCTTGGATTTTGTCCTGAAAAATGAGGGTGTGGATTTTTAAACGAGCACTCAGTTTGCAGTGTGGTGTCCTGCACAGGGAGGATGGCAAAGATCAGTCGGGGGACTTAGAGGGAGTCCAGAAGGTGAGGTGACAAGGTCCTGCTGGGCTCAGTGGCGGGGAAGGCAGAATGGAGAGGATGTTGGGTAGTGGACCAACTGTGGAAGGTTAGAACGGGAATAGGAGAGGGAAAGGTGATGATTCCTAGGGACTTGGGTGGTTTTGACCAGACTATTGGGCTCAGCCATGGAAACCTGCAGAACCACGGGGATCCAAGGGGAGCACTATGGGGTTCGCAGGAAACGGTGTGAATCAGCAGAACCTACCTAGTTCCCAGAAGCTCCTTTAGGCACTGGTTGGTGGGATCATTCTCCATAACAATTGGGGACTGGGACATGTTGTAGACCAGGGAGGCATTGGTCTGGATCCAGGCTCCAATGAGCTTCCAGAATCCCATCTTGAAGGCTGGCTGGAAGACTGACCAAGAACAGATAGAAGGAGTAGAGAAGCAAGTGCAGCCAGCCATCCAGTGGTCAAACTGTAACAGCCACCCTGCAAAGGACTTTCCTAATTCTTGGGGACAAAACCATGGAGGGAAGGGTGGGTGGAGTTAGTTGCAGGTCTGTGTTTGAATCTAGGTGTGGATTGGCTAATTACTGGGCATTGTAAGGCCCAAGATATATGCGAAGAAGGAGTTAGTCTTTACAAGGTAGATGCTTCAGTTAGCTGCTTGCAATTACACAACCTTTCTCAGCCCACAGGTCTACAGTGAAACCTTCAACCCTGGCTGAGGTTGAGTTGAGGAGATTAAGTTGATAATCCCTGCCCCGCAGCCTCTCATCGTGCATGGGAGGGGCCATCTCGTCTGGTGGAAGGGATGACCGGATTTGTCCTGGGATTCACCGAGAGTTCTATGTGGTCCTGACTCTTTCTTACACTGGAGGAGCCACCACTAAGTTCTTAGAGTGCTACCTCAGACCCCACTCTCCTGCAGAAGTGGAGCTCCCCCAGTGCTGTTACCTTGTAGATGGTCGGGAGCCGTCACTTTGAGGATGTCGGTGGCCCTTTGGAGGAGAATCACCAGCTTCTTGGACAGATATTCCGCACGGCGTGCCACTGGCCGCAGCTGGGTTATCTGCACCCATGTATAGTAAACCCCTTTGAGCTCCACTGGAAGAGGGCGTATTAGGTTCATTCCACCATGAGCATTGGAAGGGAGGGGGAGAGAGGGATACACTCACTTTATTAGACTGGATTGTTGTTGTTGTTATGTGCGTTGAGTCACTTGCGACTCATAGCGGCCCTATGTACAACAGCCCTAAACTCTGCTCTGTCCTGTGCCAATCACACTGTCTTCGATACACCCATCCCGATTACCCCAGTCACTGAATCAATCCACCTCATATAGGGCCTTCCCCTCCTGAACTGTCCCTCCACCCTACCAAGCATGATGTCCCTCTCCAAGGACAGGTCCCTCCTTGCAACATGCCCAAAGTATGCTAGACAAAGCCTCAGAATAGACTGGATATCACCTCCAAAAAAAATTAGATCCAAATCCTTCCCCATACATTTGTGTCTGTGTTTTTTTTAAGGACTGAATTGTGTCCTCCCAAAATAGGCATTGTCAATTCTAATTCTTTTGGTGATTAGAATCCTTTTTGGGAATGGAATTTCTTTGCCATGTAAAGGAGGTAAAATGTATGCAGGATGTCTTTTCAGTTAATCAATTTCAAAATAGAAAAGAGGTTAAAAGGGCAAGTGAGCAAGCAGAAAACGTGGTAGAAAGAGGACTTCCCTGAGTTTGTTAGACATCAGGTCTTTCTATTGCTGTATGGGTGGTGGCGTGAGGGGATGGGTCAGAGGGACAGCAAGCAGAGACTAAGAGTTCAATAGGCCCAGGTTCAAGTCCTGAGTCCATCAGTTCCTTGTGGAGTGACCAGAGAAAATCTATCCTTCCACTTTTCTTATCGGAAGAATTAATAGTCCTTACTCATTGGAAAAAGCTGTATAAACCTGTAAGGATGAAATAGGATTAAAGACACAGAAGATTTCGGGCTCTTCCTCCATGGTTTTGTCAATGGAATTAGTTAGGGTGGCTCAGGTTTTACACCACAAACACAAATGGAGTCCCTAGACAGGACAATTTATAAGTGCACAGTGCTAATCAAAAGGTTGGCGACCAGAATCCACCTAGAGGTAACCTTGGAAGAAACTCTTGGTGAAAGCCTTCTTTTAAAAAAAAATAATAATAGCCTTTCTGCGAAGATGGTGCTGAAAGCGAAGAAGGAAACCTCTGCCCCTTCCAGAACTGAAGCCAAACAAAGGCATTAAAGGCCAAGAAGACAGTCCTGAAGGGCATCCACAGCCAAAAAAAAAAAGAAGATGCGTACGTCACCCACCTTCAAGTGGCCTAAGACACTGAGACTCTGAAGGCAGCCCAAATACCCCCGGAAGAGTGCCCCCAGGAGAAATAAGCTTGACCACTATGTCATCAGCAAATTTCCCCTGACCACTGAGTCAGCCATGAAGAAGATAGAAGATAACAACACACTTGTGTTCATTGTGGATGTCAAGGCCAACAAGCACCAAATTAAACAAGCTGTAAAGAAGCTCTATGACATTGATGTGGCCAAGGTCAACACTTTGATTAGGCCTGACAGAGAGAAGAAGGCCTATGTTCGACTTGCTCCTGACTATGATGCTTTGGATGTTGCCAAGAAAATTGGGGTCATCTAAACTGAGTCCAGCTGGCTAATTCTAAATATCAATTTTTCTCACCAATAATAATAATCATCATCACCATCTTTATTGAAACCCATATTGAGAAGAGTTCTCCTCTTACATATTTAAAGCCATCATGAGTCAGAATCAACTTAGAGGCAATCAATGGCTATGTGAACAAGAATGAGAAAGGGACTCAGGAAGCAGGCTGAGGAAGCATCGTGCACTGTTGGTAAGGTGTCACACTGCACAGAGGCACGACACATTCTGCCTATGGATTCCCATCTGTGAACACAAAAGTCCACCAGTCTGTCAGATGAGTGCCCTTTTTTTCTATTTCCTCTCAAAGTGTCCAAAAGGCCAGCAACAAGCATGTGTTGATAGATGGGAATTTTTCTTTAGGGGAAAAGAGACCAAGGAGGTGACACGGAGGGAGATGTGAAGGAGAGCATCTTCACAGGACTGAAGGAGTGAGAAGCGCGAGATACCTTGGCAGAGGACTTGGTGGGGTGAACGGTAGAGTTAAAGAAAGTTCTAGAGGAAGACTTGCAGGGTGAAAGCCCTATGATCTCTCTTTATTAACTCTTCCACAAACGGGGGAGGGTGCGTGGGAAGGTACGAAATTAAAAATCATCAAAAAGTTCCGAGCTTAATGGTTTTATGGGAACTGACTAGCAGGACCCATGGAGACATTGGCTCTTTGACACCCTTCTATTCTGGAACTGAACACACCTCCAGGAATCAACTTTCCTCCAAACGCCCAGGCCTATAAATTGAGAGTCGAAAATGACTCGACGGCACATAACAACAACAACAACACCCTCAAGCGAAGTGCTCCTCAGAATGATTAACTATGAGACCAAAAAGGCATCATTTACCAAAAAAAACAAAGCTCTGAATGTGAGACAGACAGTAAAGAAGTTTAAGAGGGAACACAATTCTGAGATCAAATGGGAAGAGACCTGTAACGTGTGGGGATGGCAACCATTATCACATGATGAAACTTTTCAAATTGGTGAGAGAAACACCAACATGTTTTGTAAATTCTCACACAAACTACAATGAAATGTCAAAAGAAAGAAATACAAACAGTTACAGGCATGGGAGTGCCTGGCAGGAAGAGCCCCTGAGCCTGCCATAATAATCTATTCTACCCAGACATCAGCCCTGTCCAGGGTGCTGTTTACAGAAGGGGTCCAAAGTCAGAAACCAAACCCATCGCCTCTGAATCGTTCTGACTTGTAACAACAATGCAGGACCCAGAAAAATTGGCTCTTAGGGTTTCCAGCTCTGTGAACCTTTATGCGAGCTGGATACCTCACCTTTTGCAGAGAGAAGGTGCATTGGAAACTACAACCTTTTGATTAGCAACAAAATGCTTTAAATGCAGCACCACCAGTGCTCCTTTAAAAGGAGAAGAAGCCATAACCATTGCTCTATACTTCGTTATGATGATGTTGTTGTTGTTGTTGTTGTTAAGTGCCACTGAGTCATAGGCGACTCATAGCGACCCTGTAAATGAAAGTCCTCAACACTTGTGTGACTTTCATTCTTTCTCCAGGTTCATAGGGTTTCCGGAGGCAAGCTATTCCACAAGTGGATGCCACTCCTGCTTCCAAGCTTGTTTTAATCGGGGAGCTCCACCAAACACTGTCCACCATGGGTAACCGTTAATCACATTTGACACATCCAAACAACCCAAAAAACAAACAAACAAACACCCAAACATTCCACAATGACCCTCCACCAAAACAAGAGAGCCGATCTTACAGAGTCCAGTCACTCCACCCAGTTTCCAAAATGGAGACAAGATCTTGGTCTTAAATTCGAGTATCCTCCTGGAGGTCTTATTGACTCTAAACACGAGACTTAAATAAAGAAAACAATCTACACAGACCCTCAACCAAAACAAGAGTGCCAACATAGAACGTCAAGCCCATGGAAGTCCAAAATGGAAAACAAAGGAATATATATTGTTATTGTTGTTGTTGTTGTTAAGTGCCATCTGTTACTAACTCCATAAACAAAAGACTTTAACTTTGTTCTATAACTACTGTCCTTCATCTAAGTTATAGATTCATTTAAGTCCTAAGTGGCACAAAAGGTTTTTAACTCACCCAGTGGTAACCCATATAAACCTATGGATGTGTTCCCAACAAAGATGACAGCTAAGAGGACCCTACTCTTAGGGTAGTTCTCTCTCTAACTCTGCCATTTGGGCTCATTACAAGTGAGAATGGATTCAGATGGAACAAGTTTGGCCATCTATCTTGCCTGATCTAGGTCCCTGACAGGTTGTGGTGGGTGAAATAAAGTAGACCTTGGGGGTCCACAAGAGGCAGCCAGGGGTGCAAGGGGCATTTGGAGGAAAACTACTTGAATGTAAATCTGAGACGGGGGTCCTAGGGACTGAGGGAGACCCACACTGCGTTCTTTCCTTCTGTGGAGTCTTGAGTTACCAAGTGGCTGGGAACACAGAGAAGGTGATCTGGAATGGCCAGCGTCCAGAATCTGGCTGAAGGCAGGGAATCTATGGGGAGAGGCTCCCTAGAGGTAGGCGGGCTGGGTTCCTGACTTTCTGGACTGGCACTAGTGTCAGGGTCCAGCTAGAATCCCACCTACCGTGCAGTATGCGGAGAGCCATCATGCTAGTGGTAGTGAAATACCAGGGTTTCTCCTCCAAGAAGACCATGGCTCGGTCCAGCGAGGACAGGATCTCATTAGCGATGGTGATCTTATCCTGCAGGGTGTGGGGCTTTGGCAGTGAGGAAGTCTGCAGTGGGGACAAAGCCAGCAGCAGCAGGAGTGGGAGCAGCAGCCCCAAGGTGGACATGATTCCCTGCTTCTCCTGGCTGATGCAGCACGGAGGCAACAGGCAAGTGGTGCTGCTGTGTCTTCTGTCTGTGACGGTCTCCTCCTCCCTAAAACAGTTGACAAGGGGTCAGCTGGTTTGCCTGGGGCCAAGAGAACTCTGGGAAAGATAGCTGTGGGTGATTGTCTTGGGCTCTGGCTAGTAAACTGTTACTCAATGCCAGGCTAGCTCCATAATGGTTGGTGTATTTTAGCCCATTGTCAAGGCCAATGGCTTAATCCATGTCATCTATGAGATGAACTTATGTATATTACTATCTTTGAACTAGGAACCCAACAGTTAAGATGTCGTTTGTGGTGCCCTCAAGTCAGAACTGACCCATGGCTTGATCCTCCAGTGGGTTTTCAGAAGCAACAAATCACACAGGAAAAAAGCCCATCCTTTTCCTGCGACGCAGCTGGTGGATTCGAGCGATGTGCCTTTGAGATTGGAGCACAGTTAATAGCACTAAGCCAACAGAGCTCCCAACAATTAAGGTAGGTGAAGTCTGTTGTTTCCTTGGGCTCTTGAGCCAATTGCAAATCATGGTGACCCCAAGTATTATAAAGCAAGACAGAGTAGCTCAGCCCCTTAGTGCTTGAGAGTATGTACTTCGTTTCTGTTTTGTTTGGGGTTGGGTGTTCTGTTTTGTTTTGTTTTGTTTTGTAGCATCGAATCAGATCTGACTGGCCCCTCCTTCTCAAGCAGAGCATCTGGTGGATTTGAACCGCGAGCCTTTGTGACCGCAGTGCAGCTTCTTGCCACTAGGCCACCAGAGCTCCTTGAGAAGTGGAATGCCTCCTCTTTCTCCTAAGGAATGGAATCTGTTTAAAGTGCCCACCTCTAGGTTAGCAGCCAAGTTTAACCCACTGCACCAAAAGAACTCTCTGCTAGCCCAGAAGATGATTGCTTCTTCCGTGGAATCTAACTGTGATGCCTTTCTGAGCACAGAACACTGTCAACATCACAGTCAATACCTGAATTCTGTCATGCAGCTCTAGAAGGTATTTTATCAAACACTAAACGAGATTCAGAGTTCCAAATAGCACATTTAGCTACTCCTCCACGGGGTCAGAGCATAGGAAGGAACGGGATAAATCCCACTTCCTGTCATAAGACCGCCACCATGGCTTGAGGACACCCTAGCACTCGCTAGGTTCCAGGTGCTGTTCTCAGTCCTCTACGCAGATAACAGCGCTAGAGGTCGTACTGAGGTTAGGCGGAAGCATGGTGGTGCAGGGGTTAAAAGCTCTCCTGCTAACCAAAAAGCAGGCAGTTCAAACCCACCAGCTACTCCTCGGGACAAAGGCTGGGCAGTTGTTTGCTGTAAAGATTCCAGGCTTGGAAATCCTATAGGGCAGTTCTACTATGTCCTGTTGGGCCTTTATAGCTAGAAATCAATTCATTGTGATCCCTACGAGAGGAGTGCTGCTCTGTCCTATAGAGTCACTATGAGTGAAAATCAACTTGACTGCACTGGGTTTATAGCTACACAGCAGAATCATTTTCTGTTTATTCTAATCCATTCCCTTATAATTTCTGTATAATTTTATACTCTAAAATGGATTTTCTCATAATTCAGTTTTATGAAAAATATTGTTCTGGGGCAGCAGCTTGAGAATAAATAATGAGCCACACCTTCTGACCACTTGGAACTCCGCGGGACGGAGCATTCCCCAGGTGTGCAGCTGAATGACGAACCGAACTATGATCCTTATTGTGTTACGTTGAACTGTGTCTCCCAAAAAGTTCTGTTCAAGTCCTATCTCATAATTCCCATGGATATGACCGTAAGAGGTTGAATTGTGTACCCCTAAAACATGTGTTTGTAAACCCCCTGTAGGAGTACAGGCATATAGATACTCCAGTCTGAACCACTGCAAAAAAACCTAACATGACAGTAAAGTGAATCATGACAATTTTTGGGTTTCTCAGGTCACATAGAGGGAGCGCCGGTGGCTCGATGTAAAGAATTACACTGTCAACCCAAAGGCACGTGGTTTGCACCCACCAGCTGCTCCGTAGGAGAAACATGGGCAATCTCTTCCCATGTGATTTATTACCTCTGAAAACCGCTAGAGGGCAGCTATGAGTTGATCCGGACTTGATAATATATAACAACAGGTAACTTGAAAGTTTGGCAGTTTGAATCCACCCCCACTCCCCAGGAAAAAAACCTGTCAGTCTCCTCCAATAAAGATTGACAGCTCTAGATACTCAAAGAAGGTTCTTTAAGGGTCAGAATAAATTCATGGTACAACAACTCTGGAAGACGGGTTAGTGTTTCCTCAAAAAGCTAAACATAGAAACTCCATATGACCCAGCTATTCCATTACTAAGTATATGTTGTTGTTATTGTTGTTGATTGTCTTCTAGTCGAACAGGACTCATAGCGACTCTACGAAAAGGGCCTGAAGCCCTTCTACAACTATCGACATTTATCAATATATCCCAAGGAAATTTGAACTGAGACACCAACAGAGATTTGTACACCAATGTTCATTGCAGCATTATTCACCATCACAAGAACATGGAAACAGCCCAAATGTCCAACCACAAACGAATGGATTGAGAAACTGTGGTACATTCACACAATGGAATGCTATGCAACACTCAGGAGCAACAATTGCAAAAAATACTAAATAATTTGGGAGGGACTGGTGAGCATTATGCTGCCTGAACTAACACGGTCTCATAAGGACAAATACTGCATAAGACCATTATTGTAAAAATAGAAGGACAACTAGTAAAACATGTACGGGAACTCAAGGAAGGGAAATCTGAGGATGGATAGGGATGAAACGACAGGGTTACATAGTTTGGTGGGTGGAGCGAGGAGAAGTAAATGGGAAGGAGTGGGAGAAAAGACAGGGTATTGATGGGCAACATTCAATGGTGATTAATTTTATAAAACATAATAAATGGGGAGCTCTAGGGCCTAGTGGCAAGAAGCTGCACTGTAATCACAGAGGTACACGGTTCGAATCCACCAGATCCTCTGCTGGAGAAGGAGGGGCAATCCCCTCCTGTATCAGTCAGATTAGATTTGATGGTACACACAAAACAATAATTTAAAAAAATTTTAAAAATACCATAATGAATGATAATGATTGCATGAAACAAAATGTGAATGAAGAATAGCGTGAAACACAAGGTATACTGAACTTTGTAAGCAAACCAATAAAAAAATCAATAAATACAATAAAATAAAAGAAACAAAAACAAATAATAAACTAAGAATAAATTCAGCAGTGGGGTTGGGTTTTCTGAGTTTTTTTTTATAGAGGGTGTCCTATTAACATCTTCAATAGCATTATAAGGGAAATGGAAATATTGTGAAAATCACAAAAATGGGATAAAAAGTCCTGAATGAGCACACATCTTGAAAAACTGATGCTAGGAGATTTGCTCAACTCAGGGCTGCCAAAAACCTTCAATTTGGTTTTAAAAAAAAAAAAAAAGAATAAGATCTACAAGGTGAAATAAAATGAGATACACCTGTACGTATTTCTTAGTATTATTATTTAGCCAAGTGTAGCTCTGACACCTCAGCCTGGCTTCGTTTCACAAGATCTCATAGTTAGACCCTCTACCCCAGAAGTACAGAGTTCCGGTGGCCTAGTGGCAAGAAGCTGCACTGTGTTTTCAAAGGCACATGGTTCGAGATCACCAGCTGCTCCACGGGAGAAGGATGAGCAATTTCCTCCAAAGCAATTAACTGTCTCTTGAAAGCCTGCCTGCCAGAGGGTCAGCTATGGGTTGGTTCCCGCAACAACAACCCCAGAAGTGGATCAGTCTGCACTCTGCTGACCACCCAATGGCGCTGTGCACCTAAGGTCACCTGAGACCAGAGGGAAACCCATCATGTGGCTAGAAAAATTTCCTTGGAAATCTCCTTTTTCTTCCTTCATAATATCCACTTTGTTTCTTAAAGCATAAATAAGTAAAGTTAAAGCAAGCAAATAAAAACCTCAGAATCCTTGATGTTTTCACATCATCTTACCCAAATAAATCCCCAGGCAAAGAAGTTTCAATCAAAAAGCAGGAAAGGTTGATGCTTGCAACTCTTCCTTCTGCTGCCGGTTTACTCCCTTCCTAGTGGTGTCTATATACTAAGGACAGCCTACTGTCCTACCCTCCTGACTTGGTTGGACTACCAGAAGCAGTAACCAGACACACTGTTCTGAGCCCTGGATTTACGGCTCATTGAGTTCTTTCCGCTGATTTTCTGTAATATTTTTTTTTTCAGAAGCTCCGGTGTTGACTATGTGGAACATAGCAAACTCTGACTAACATTGACAAGAATGGGGATCCCAGAACACTTAATTATGCTCATAGAAAACTGTACAAAGACCAGAGCTGTTATCTGAACAGAGCAAGAAAACACTGCATGGTTTAAAATCAGGAAAGATGTGTCATAGTCGCGTCCTTTCTCCATACCTATTCAATCGGTATGTCAAGAAAGTAATTTAAGAGCTGGATTCTATGAGGAAGAATGTGGCATCAGGATCAGCAGAAGACTTATCAACAACCTACATCATGCAGATGACACAACTTTATTTGCTGAAAGTGAGAAGGTCTTGAAGCACTTGCTGCAGAAGATCAAAGATGACAGCCTTCAGTATGAATTGCATCTTTACAAGAAGACAAAAATTCTCATCACTAAACCTGGTGATTTAGTGAGCTCTGGTGGCCTAATAGCAAGAAGCTGAGCTGCAATCCCAAAGGCACACTGTTTGAGTCCATCAACTGCTCCACAGGAAAAAGATGGGTAATCTCTTCCATGCAATTAACTGCCTCTGAAAACATGCTGGAAAGTCAGCTATGAGTTGGTTCCAACTTGATGATATACAACAGCAATAAACCTATAAGCAATATCATGTTGTTGTTGTTGTTGTTGTTGTTGTTATGTGCCACTGAGTCACCTGTGACTCATAGCGACCCTATGTACACTCCTGAATCCTGCTCTATCCTAAGCTAACCTTACTGTCTCCGACACACCTACCACCATTACTCCAGTCACTGAGTCAATCCATCTCATCAAGGGTCTTCCTCTCTTGTACTGTCCCT